CAGCAGCAGCAGCAGGTGCAGCAGCAGAAGGAACGCAGCAGCAATATGAGAGACGAGCTGTGCTGCACTTAGAGCCCCCTGCTGCACTCCAGTGGCTGCAGCAGTTTGTATGGAACTGCCAGGTTGATGACGACGTGTATCAGGCGCTGCTGCGAGAGCAGCACCGGCCTGCTGCTGCTGCTGCTGCTGCTGCTCCTGCTGCTGCTGCTGCTGCTGCTCCTGCTGCTGCTGCTGTTACTGCTGCATCGGAAGCTCCTCAGCAGCAGCAGCAAAACGGGGAGACAGCAGCAGATTACGATCCAGACGATCCGTCCTCAAGCTGCATCTNCAGCAGCAGCAGCAAAACGGGGAGACAGCAGCAGATTACGATCCAGACGATCCGTCCTCAAGCTGCATCTGCATCGGCAGCAGCAGCAGCAACGACAGCGACAGCAGCAGCAACAGCAACAGCAGCGGCGGCTACAGCAGCCAGGACAGCGACAGCAGCAGCAGCAGCATCAGCATCCGCAGCAGCAACAGCAGCTGCAACAAAGAAGCAGCTAGCAGCACAGATCAGGGGGGGCCTGAGGGGGGGCCCCTGGGGGCAGAGTCTGCCCCTGAAGAAGCAAACGCAGCATCGCCAGCAGCAGCAGCAGCTGTTGCTGCTGCTGCTGCTGCTGCTCCTGCTCCCCGCAAGCTGCGTCGCCTACGACGACCTGTTTATCGTATTTTAATTATTTGTGGAGACAGCAGCGTTTGCTGCAGCGTCCGCTTGGCGCTGCTGCTGGGGACCCGGCAGCTGCTGCTGCGGTGTCTAGGCAGCTACGTCCGCGGCCTTGCTGCTGGGGGTTGGCCTGCTGCTGCTGCTGGTGCTGCTGCTGGTGCTGCTGCTGTCTATGGAGCAGCAGCAGATGCAGCAGATAAGCGCAGCAGCAGCGGGTTAAGCAGCAGCAGAAGAGCAGAGCAGCAGCTGCTGCAGCAGGCCCTGAGAATCGAAGAGATGATGGGTGGGTCCCCCACTGGGCTGCAAGCTGCAGCAGCAACAGCTGCTGCTGCTGCTGCTGTTGCTGCTGCTGACCCAGAGGGGCCCAGTGACCGACAGCTATGGAGAGCTCTGCGGTGGAGAACTAAAGGGCTGAGGTAAGTTGCTGCTGTTGCTGCTTCATCTGCTGCTGCTGCTGCTGCTGCTGCTGTTGCGTTTGTAGACTTGCAGACACAGTCACCCCACTGCTGCTGCTCGTGCTGCTGCTGCTGCTGCTGCTGCTTCAGGGTGCGGCCTCTACCCCGCGTGGTGAGCGCTTCGGATGGCAACGCTGCTGTCGCTGTCGTGCTGCAGCAGCACCAGCCGCATGCAGTTGTGCTGCTGCCGCCGCTGCTGCCTTGTGTGCGTCTGCTGGAGGGGTATTGTGCTTCTGTTTATCAGCAGCAGCAGATCAACCAGCTTCTTGCTGCTGCTGCTGCTGCTCCTCCTGCTGCTGCTGCTCCTGCTGCTGCCGCTGCCCCACCGGATGCTGCAGACGGCCAAACCGCAGCAACAACTGCAGCAGGCCCCAGCGTAGTTGAATCAGCAGCTGCAGCACAAGCAGCACAAACAGAAGCAGCAGGAGCAGCAGGAGCAGCAGCAGCAGCAACAGCAGCAGCAGCGAAGAAGCGTTGCGCTCGCGTGCTGAAGTTGCTGCAGCAGCAGCGGCTCGTGGGCCCGCTGCTTCGTGTGTATCTTCTTGCTGCTGCTGACAGTTTGCTGCTGCAGCAGTACGTGCACTCTGTGCAGGAGGAAGCAGCAGCATGGAAGCAGATAGAGTTTTCATCGCAGCACTTGCTGCTGGTTACTGATGACCTGCTGCTGCTCGCCCCCCACAGGCTGATGCGGGAGCAGCTGCTGCAGCAGCTGCAGCCGTGGGGCCCAGAGCGGCTGCGTGCTGCGCTGCAGGTTGCAGCGCAGCAGCACAGCAGCAGCAGCAGCAGCAGCAGCAAGACAGCAGCAGAAGTACAAGCAGCGAAAGCTTCTTTGTTGCTGCAGCTGCGTGCTGTGGGTATCGATCCATCTGAAGCATTGAACAGCTGGCGGGGTG